ATTTTCTGTTTATTTCTCCATCATATCTGAAGGATATTTTTGCTGGACAGAGTATTCTTGGCTGAAAGTTTTGTCTTTCAGAATTTTGAATATATCATTCCATTCTCTCCTAACTTGTAAGGTTTCTGCGGAGGAATCTGCTGAAAGCCTGATAGGGGTTCCTTTCTATTTTCTCATCTTGCTGTCTTTAATATTTTTTCCTTGTCATTGACTTTTCCCAGCTTTACTATTATATGCTTTGGAGAAGATCTTTTGATATAATTAGGAGTTCTATTGGCTTCTTTCAGTGGTATTTCCAGCTCCTAAACCAGGTTTGGAAATTCTCAGCTATTATTTTCTTGAACATGTTTTCCACTCCATTCTTTCTCTTCTTCCTCTAGAATACCTATAATCCTTATGTCGCATTTCCTAATTGAGTCAGACATTTCTCAGAGAATTTCTTCATTTCTTTTCGGTTTTAGTTCTCTCTCCTGCTCCATCTAAAGAATTTTGATATTTCTGTCCTCTAGACTGCTAATCCTCCCCTTCATAATATCAGCTCTGTTATTCATGGAGTCCAGAGTTTCATCTCATCCACTGTGCTTTTCATCTCCAACATTTCTTATTGGTTTTTCTTTACAGTTTCAATCTCTTTTGTGAAGCATTTCCTAATTTCATTGAACTATCTGAATTTTCTTGTAACTTGTTGAGTTTTTTTATGATAGCTATTTTGAATTCTCTGTCATTTGGATTATAAATTTCAGGGTGCTTGTCATTTTCCTTCTGTCCTGGAGTACTAATATATATTTTTTCAATCTGTTTCATGGTGTGGATTTGTGCCTCCACATAGTGACAGTATCTGGTTGCAGATTCCACCTGCCACCACTGGGTGGTTGTCAAGACCTGTGTATTCTGAGCCCATGTGACCCCCAGCTCTCTTGCTCATAGCTGCTGCTTTTCTGTGGTATGCATGAGTGTTCTGGCCAACAAGCTGAGATGGAGCACCGGGCAGGGGGAGGGGTGCTTCCTTTTGCCTGCAAGATGCCAGGGGCATTCTTACTCTGCTCTTGCTGTCTGCTCTCCTGTGGTGCTGGCTTGATGAAGACAGGCCCACAATACCTTAGTCACCTCTGTATGGGGCTTTCCCACAGGCTTGAGGAAACTTGGAGAGTGAAGGTGTTCCTGCAGAGGGCCACCCCTCCCCCCCGCCACTCAGAGCTGCATGCAGTCCTGCGCCCTGGGTTGCTGCCATTAGGGGAGGGAGAGGAGATTCCCTTACCTTCTTCCACTTCTTCTGGGGGATCCAACACCACTGGCTGTGTGGGTCTCTCAGACGTCTTTTGTGTTGTGTGAAAGCCCTCTGTTGGTATATGAAGATCCTCTTCATCGTATCTTAGGTGAGAAGAGTCTAAGGGAAGAGCTCACTCTGCCATGATGCTGACTCAATCTCAGCATTTTTCACATTATGGGCCATAAAATTCTTTGATGCAGGGTGGGCTGCCACATGCAACATAGGATGTTTAACATAATCCTGGTCTCTATCTGCTAGATGCTAGTAACATGCTCTTTAGTTGCAACAACCAAAAATGTCTCCAGACATTGCTAAATGTCCTTTTGTGTGGCACAATCGACCCCAGTTCAAAAACACTGTTCCAGACTTTTAATATGGTGAATTATATTGATTGGTGTTCAAATACTGAACCAGGATAAACCCTGCCTTGGTCATGGTTGCTAATTTTTTAAAGCATTTTAAAAATATTGTAAAATTTGCTAATATTTCGCTTAGGATTTTTGTATCTATGTATGTGGGATACTGGTCCGTAGTTTTGGTTTTTTGTGCTGTCTTCGTACAGTTTTGGACTTAGGGTATTGCTGGTCTCATTTAATATAAATTGGAAGTCCTTCCTCTTCTGTTTTCTGGAAGAGATTGTGTAGAGCTGGTATTACTATTTGAATGTTTGGTAAAATTTGCCAGTGAAACCATTTGGGCCTGGAGAATTCTTTTTTGGAACATTTTAAACTACAAATCCAATTTCTTTAATGGTTATAGGGATACTCAGGTTATTTATTTCATCTTGTGTGAGTCATGGTAGCTTGTGTTTCTCAATGAATTGTTCCATTTTGCCTAGGTTGCTGAATTTGCATGCAGAGAGTTGTTTGCAGTATTCCCTTCTTATTCTTTTAATGTCAGCAAGCTCTGTAGAAATATCCCGTCTTAATATAATGTATTTTTAAATGAAAAATACTTTTGCATTTGATATGTACATGAAAGAATAGGAGATGAAGAATGGTGGCAGAGTAACAGAGTACACGTGATTTTCAAAATTCTTTAATGGCGTTATACTATCTTTCTAACAAAAATGAGGATGGGGAGGCAAATAGTATGGTTTACTTAAAACTTTCTAAGCTAATACTGACACCTGCTTAGCCAGAAATGCATATTTCAGGAACAGGAAAGTTGGCACACGTTAACGTTGATGGCTGAAACTATAAAAGGAGTTTAAAAAGTAACGATAAGCATCATGGGTGAGACACGTTTTCCAGCGTCTATGCACAAAATCACTCACATTAACATTAAAACAAAACGTATGGTTGACTAAAATATATCTTAAAAGAATGAAAGAAAGCACTTGTATCCAAATACTGTATTAACCATATTGCACCTATCTGAAGTATTTTATTAAATCTCAGATACAAACCACATTTACTTTACTCTTCAACAAACAGAAATCCCTAAGATGACTTGAAGATTAAAAAATAAAGCTCAAAACCTATTAAAAGGAATAACGTCCCTTTCACAACCATATTAACAAAAATAAAACATAAAATACCCAGAAGTGGGGGCTGGCCCGGTGGCGCAGGAGTTAAGTGTGCACATTCAGCTTCAGCACCCTGGGGTTTGCCGGTTCGAATCCCAGGTGCAGACATGGCACCACTTGGCAAGCCATGCTGTAGCAGGTGTCCCACATAAATAATAGAGGAAGATGGGCACGAATGTTGCTCAGGGCCAGTGTTCCTCAGCAAAATGAGGAGGATTAGTAGATGTTAGCTCAGGGCTAGTCTTCCTCAAAGGAAAAAAAAAAAAAGTCTAGGGGCCAGCCCAGTGGTGCAGCAGTTAAGTGCGCATGTTCCGCTTCAGTGGCCCAGGGTTCGCCGGTTCAGATCCCAGGTACAGACATAGCACTGCTTGGCACACCATGCTGTGGTAGGCATCCCACATATAAAGTAGAGGAAGACGGGCACAGATGTTAGCTCAGGGCCAGCCTTCCTTCGCAAAAAGAGGAGGATTGGCAGTAGTTAGCTCAGGGCTAACCTTCCTCAAATACAAACTAACAAAAAAACACATCCAGAAGTGAACTAAACAAGAAATGTGTAGAACCTAGATAAAAAACAAAAATGCTACAAAGCTTCCCTGAAGAAAACAGAGACAAACACATGGCAGGATATACCAACCACACAAATATTTTTCTCAAATTACCTTATCAACATAGAAATAAACCAAGAATTTACTCTTCTACATGAATATTAAAATCTTCTTGTCAAAGTCTAAGACATTGCAGTTCTGATCAGAATTACATTAGTTTGAAAAGAAATAATTTCAACTTTTAAAACAAAGATTACAATACTATCTTTGGAAGGAATAATTGAGCATAATCAAGAAAAATTTGAAAAGTAATGATGAGGGGTTACTTGATAAACTGGGTAATAAATTTTATTATAAAGCTACAATAATTACAGCACAAGGACAGAAGAAGCATATCATTAGAAAACAGTTCAGAAAGAAGTCCAGGTAGAGTAGGGTTTAACCATTTGGAGGAATACAGAAACTTACTTTAGAAAATGCAACAAGCTAAGTTAACATAAAGATTTAAAGAAAAATCATTCTTAAAAGCTGATGGTTTTTACAAATAAAATTTGTGTAATTAAAAGAAGTTAAAAGGAAATTTTGGAATAGATATTTGCAACAGATGTCAAAGAATTAATATATAACAATAATTTAAATATCAATGAATATAATATACAAAGCTCTTAGGGACACCAGAAAAAACCACCACCATGGAAAAACAGGCAAAAGATATTAACTGGAAAAAAAGAAGGGTATGAAAATACTAATTATTACATGAAAACAAAAAAGTTCAACACTCAGTAATAACCAAAGAAATGCAAAATTTAAAAACATGATACTGTTCTTCACCTATCAAATTGTCAGTTTTATTTTTTTAATGACAATGCCAAATGATGCTAAGGAATCAAGGAAGGCATTCTCATTCAGCACTGGCATTCTGAAGGAATAAAGCGCTTCAAGTGAAATTTTTAAGGAACCATGGATTTGCTGAAAGAATAGCCTGAATGCTAAACTATATAAATGCCACGTAGATGGACACGTTATTAAAATAAAATAATGAATAGCAGTGATTTTTAAACTGCCTATCAAGGAGCCATGGAAGGATTTCTGTGGCCACCTATGGAAGGGAGCTGGAAGGAATGGACCTTCACTGACCTTGCCCTATGTGTCTCTTCATTCGGCTTGTCCTGATTTGTATCCTTTATAAACTGTAATCCTAAGTATATGCTTTCCTGGGTTTTGCTAGTCACTGTGCGAATTATCGAACCTAAAAGGGCTGTGGGAACTCCTAAATTTGTAGCCAGTTGGTTAGAAGTGCAGATGCCTGGGGACTCCCCCAAATTTGCAAGCAGTGTCTAAAGTGAGGGCAGCCTTATTGGTGACTGTGTCTTTAAGCTGTGGGGTCTGCAACTGTGAACTGTTAGTGTCAGAATTGAACTTTGCTATACCAATATCCCATTACTATTATTTTTTTTAAGTATGGGGTATATGTAAACATATATGCCTAGAAAAAGACTTAAAGGATATACTTTAATTTGTTAGTAGTGATCTTCTTTAACTGCTGGGATGTAAGTGGTCTTTATATGCTTTTCTATATAACTACTGCAAACATAAAATACTTAAAGCGCTCATTTTCAAAAATACCTAACAAGGACAATTTTACTGGGAAACTCACCTTTTTGAGCTTTAGCTGTTATTTCAAAATATTTGACAGTTAGATCTTGAATTGAGAGCACAGCCATGTGAGCTTTCCGCTGCCAGTCAGCATCTTCTTTTTGTAGACTTTCAATTCTTCGGGGACCCAGATAGTCATTCTCCATGGAAATCTTGAGAGAAGAGAAAGAAAAATTAAGAAGTTCGTTTCTTTCTTTTATTCATTCCTTAAATATTTACTGACTGTTTACGTATCATGCATTGTGCCTGGGGCTAAAACAAATATTTGTTTTCCCTGCTCTATAGTAGAAGCAATTAATTTACAAAACAAGTAAATGAACAATAACATTGAAGATAGCTGACACAGAAATTTGTTCCCCTTTCCTCCTCCTCTACCTTCTTTTTCATCCTTCTCTCCTCCATTCATATATATACAAAGGACACAGAGCAAAATGTTAAGACATTATTTTTAGGTACTGAAGTAAGAAGAAATTTATTTCCTCCTTTATGATAATTATATTTTCAGGTTAAGAATTATTTGTGCCAATAAAATATTTATTTACTAACTGACAAATAAATGCAATAATTGAAAATTCAGATTTTAAGACTGAAAATATATAAAAATCAGTTCAGCTACTTACTGAAGGACTTTGGATAAAAACAACAGAGAAAAATCAGCTATGTATTATTTACAAGAGTCACAACTAAAATAAAAGGACAAAGGAAAGTTGAAAATCAAACGATGGACAGGGGTATACCACGTGAACACTAAAATAAAATTCACAGAAGTGACACTAGTAATATAAAATATAAAAGCACCACACAGGTATGTTTAACACGTAAGAAAGGTCCAATCCAGCAAGAACAGCAATGGATCCTTTGCACACTCCAGCCTTCTTTACCATATACAAGACCGCTAAAAATTAAACGAGAAGTTAGTAACACCATATTAGGATGATGGAAAAAAACACTATAGCGAAAAATGTTAAGCCACACATGGCACACTTTTAAAAAACTGATCAAGTATTATAACCCACTAAAAAATTTGTAATAAACTTTAAAAGTAGAAATAATACAGACCATATTCTCTAAATGGTATAATAAATACAACTTAAAAGCACAGTCTAAAACTAAAATAAAATTTTAATCACCTGGAAATTTAACACTCAGAGGAAGGAAACGTTTGGTTTTAGTCTTGAAGCAACAATATACTGCTCCTTAATCAAATGAAGAGTCTTCCAGATAGAGGGAAAAATATATGAAAGAGCACTTAGTATAGTGTTCAGCACACAGTGAGCAATTTATTAGCAGTGTTAAGGGGGACAATGGCAAGGCAGAGAGAGGGGTCAAGTCAGAGAGAGTGACTCAGGTTATCAGGAAAAAATATGTACGTGGAATTGCCATTTCCTCAAAAAGTAAACAATGAAGAAGAGCTGATTTTAAAGGGGAGAAGACCAAGGATTTCATTTTGCATATGGTAAGCTTGACTTTGCAAAGGTCGTGCCCAGAGATATAAATCTGGCTATCCTTGACACACACAAAGGCATTTAAAGCCATGAGAGTGAATGAGATCATCTAAGGAAGTCATGAGAAAAAGCTCATGACTGAATCCTAAGGAATTCCAACCCTTTGAAGTGGGTGAAGAACCTACAGAAATCAAATGGGGGGTGCGGTGGGGGGAGTACCAGAAAAGCACGGAATCACATAAGGAACAAGATTCAAAGGAGGAGAAATCAACTCTGTCGTTTAAACACTCCCTAGGGGTCATATAGGATGACAACTAGTATCCATGGACCTAACAGCATGAGGATCACTGAACTTAGCAACAGCAGTTCTGGAGGACAGGCCAACTCCCTTTGCTATTAACTCCCATCACATCTTCAGATCTCAGCTCAATTACTGGTTCCTGGAAGTCTTCCCTGACTCCCCATTACAAGCTCTTCAGTGCAATACATATACTTTTCCTTCCTAGCACTTACCACAATCATACTTGATAGTATTTTGTGAACTTAAAAATACTGACTGCTTCCCCCTCCAAAAGTTCCATGAGGGCAGAGAATGCATAGGTTTTTTGCTTTTCATGAGCACACTGCTTGGCATGAACTAGGCAATCCAAAATATTTCCTGAATGATTGAACGAATAAAAAATTCACTTCCAGACATGTTTTTAATGAGAGGAGAGAAATGTAGACACATGTATAAATAAATACTCTTGAGAAATTTGATTGAGTGAACAGAGAACAAAGGGTGGCGCTGAAAAACGATAAGGCTTAAGAGGAGGCCTTTTGATTTTTGTTTTATTTTAATAGGAGATGGTGGAGCAGGCTGAGTGGTGGTAAGAAGTATCCAGCAGAGGGAGAATCTAAAGATGCAGGAAAGAGATGGGGCTAATCAGAGTAGGGAAGTCCTTGAGAAGAAAATGGGAAGGGACAGGGTGCAGAGTCCTGGTGTAGGGATGTGCTCTTGGTAAATGGAGGGACAATTCCTCCACGGGCACAAAGAAAGGGAGGTTTTGGATTTGGCAGAGGTAGGATAAGGCGAACTCTCTTTTGATGATCTCTGTTTTCCCCTGTGAAGAAAGAACCTAGATAAGAATAGACTGGCTTAGGACAAGGAAGGAGAGAAGACAGAAAATAGCCGCTTTTAGATGGTAGGATAACAAGCCATTTAGAAAGAGTCATTAAGTAAATATTAAAAATGAGACTTAACAAGGGTTAGTGTAGTCACGATGAAATAGGCAAACACTCATACACCACTAGTGGAATTATAAGTGGATTAAAATCTTTTCTGGGAGGTATTTTATGACATCATACTCTTTGAGGGTACTCAAGAAAATATCTTCAAATAATGATAACCAAAGATGTACACTGAAATGTTATTTGAAACAAAGGAAAAAAATGGATCCCAGATACCTAATAGTTATGTATGATATACCCATAAAATAACAATTCTGTGCTAAAAATAATGCTTATGAAGTTTTTAATAACCAAGGGCAATGATTATGCTATAATATTAAGTGAAGACACATCAAAATCATAGATACAATTTCAATTACATAAAGGAAGAATGTCCAGAAAAAAGACAAAACATAAAACGTATTATTATTAATAGCATCTTCTGGTGGTGGATTATGGGTGATTTTTTTTCTTCCTGTTTAAAATCTGCACCTTCCAAATCTTCTTTACTGTAAATATATTGCTTTATAGTCACGAACAAGAAAAAGTGCTTTCATCTCTTCTTGGGTTCAAAAGCCATACCAACTAGACAGGCTGAAGACACATTATCGCAGAGGTTTCCTGTTTCTAGTCAAGCAAACAATGAGCTCATGTTTTCACATACAAGGCCCAGCAAGAGGCAAAACTATGAGAGTTACCTCTTTTTTCCAGTGTGGGGGAGAGAGGGGAAGTGGAGATATGATGAGAACCTAAATGTCTTCCTTAATAGTTAGAAAACAGAATTGTGAGAGCTCCATTTCTGGGACTATAAACACAATGCCAAGCAAAGACAATTAAGCCAGTAGCAGCAGCTTGGATTCTTGATATAGGATTCCCTGCTCATCTGGACGGGAATTTTTTTTTTTAATTCTCAGAAGATGATTACTATATTTCTAGTCTCAGACCACAGGAGTCACACTTACATGATGCTACTAGATATGGTTGACTTTATTTCTCCTTTTAGACTTTCCCATGGCTAGTATTTGGAAATCACTTCAATTATATAATTTCAATAAACAGACCGCTGTACTAGGTGCTTCAGGGGATACACATATGAGTAAGACACATATTCTTCTCCCAAGAAACTTACAGTCTAATTGGGGGGTGGGGTGGGGAGAGATATCTGTGATGCAGAAATCTGTCTTGAAATTAGGAGACCTGGCTCTACTTAGTAACTGTGAAACCTTTGACAAATCTTTTAACACAATTATTCACCCAAAACGATGCTGTTTTACATCTGCTCAGGGCCAGTATTGCACTAGACACTAGGGACAGCAAGATATTCAGCCTAGCAAAGACAAAGACACCCAGACAAAGAATTACAACACAGTATGGAAAATGTCATGGCACACTACACCTAAGATACTATGGGGAGCACCAGCTATGGAGGTTGGGGTGCAAAGGCTGGGCAGACTTTCTAATGGAAATGATGAGTAAGTGGATTCTTAAAGAACAAGTAGAATTCTAGCCAGGTATTAAAGATGGTGGGAGTGTCTCCAGGTAAAAGGAATAAAGGTATTTAAGACTTTTAAGGAAAAGGAAAGGTTTGCGGGGAGAGAACACACTTGGCTGCTTAGATCAGGACAGACTTTAGTGAGGTTCATAAGTGAGGGGGGCGTTGAAGGAGGGGTGGGATTTTGACAGGTACATATGAAGTATACGGGAAAGAGAACCATCCAAAAGGCATAACAGAGGTAACAATTAACGTGAGCAAAAGCCTAGACGCAGGTAAGTTCAGTGCGTGGTAACAGAGAGCAGTCCAGCATGGCTGGAGGTTAGGTAAAACAGATAAAGGTAACGGAAGACAAAATTAGAAAAGTAGGCTGTGACCATCACAAGGAGGCCTTTAAACGTCAGGCTGAGCAGTTTACACTTAATTTGATAGGCAACAGGAAACCACTGTGGGATTCCTAGCAGTACGTGGCATATTTAGACTTTGGCTTAGATTTAAGGGTTCTGGAAGCCTTGTTTACTATTATAACAAAACCATCATGGTTTGTGCTTTCTTTTGTCGTGATTACCTCTGATTTTAAAACACGTGCATCAAAAAGCCTCAGATTAGCATTCACTAGTATGCAATAGAAATTTAATAAACTCAACACTGCAGCCCAAATTTTAAACCCTTACTCAGCATACTATGATAAAAGTCCTTTTCAATGACATGATTAAACTTCGGCCCCTTTAAAGAACTTGGATGTTTATTGTCCTGAAGACCACAAGCTAGGTTACTACGTTGTTTTCCCTAACTTTAATAGTTTGAAGATGTACGTAAATTCTAGTCTATCGGCTCTAGGTTCAGCTTTCTGCCTTGCGATGCTAGGGTTCGGGCTCTGCAAACCACATTAGGCTTTGCCAGTAGTAAGGGTTGGAGGCGATCTCAGAGCTGGAGGAGGGAGACGGGATTTGCTTCTTCCTATCTGCATCACTTGATTTTCCTGTTTGCTGCTCTTATCAGCGTC